TCCAAAAAGCAAGGCCGGTCATTATTTTTTGAATAACTCGAAGGGAACACAAGATCAAGACTTGCGTTTTTCACCATTCGATGGCCAAGACTTGAAGCTATCTTTCCATAAGCAAAAACGGATTTCGAAAAAATTTTCGAAACCGGTTTTCCAGAGGATCTTTGGAAAAGCAGTTCGGTTCTCTGAAAACTGACATATAAACGTATGAGCTTTTTCTCATAGATATATGGCCTGAAGTGTCCTCTACAAAACTGAATCCAAGCGACATCCTGGAAATCTATGATTCGGGAGCTATGGACGTTTTTCCTGAAGCCTTAGCACTCCTCGTCCGTTAGGTTTGGGACTATCAGAAATGAATGAAAACATAGATTATCGACTATGCTGAATCTCGTGGCAATGTTAGTTTTCAGAACAAAATGCAACAACCGAGTGAAAACCTACAGGGTGTCCCATAAGTCACTGAACGAATTTGATTGAGAATAACTTTTGATAGGAGCAAGATAGAGACCTGCGCTTTCTGCCATTCGAAAGAGGAGACTTAGAGGCATGTTTTCATAACCAACATTATTTTCCGAAGAGTTTTCTGAAACAGGTTTTCTAGGAGATCTTTGGGAAAGGCCATCTGTAAAGATTTTGCAATAGGATTGTATTGCTTTTTTCTCATAGGCTGGTAGCTCGGGATCTACGCATAAAACCAGTACTCACAGATTCATTCTCTGTCCACGTCACTCTTTATTTTCAATTTTTCTCATGGCCTAGGGAGTTATTATTTTTTAAAGCTCTTCAGTGTTTTTCTAGCGTCAACCAAAGCTAGACATAGCATGAAAAAGGGAATTTTTTTTCTTTGGCAACATAATGCCAAAAAAGCTAATTGTTTAACTCATAATGAGTACGTACCAGGAATAAAAAAATGCATCAGAAGTACTAAACGAGAAGTTAGATAATTAATTCCAGCGATTTGGCGCCAAACGAACGTTTGTGATTCGCGCTCAAGTCTATTTCTGTCGCATTTGGCGGAATAATTATAAGTAGGACTTTTTTCAATAATTATGCAGGAAAAACCGTGTTTTTCCATTATTTTTGAGAAAAGCAAGCGCTCTACGTAGAATTTTAGGCATGGCAGCCATTTTGGATTTCTATTGGTCAGCGTACGAAACGAATAAAATAAACGTACGTAGACCCGAACGCTCTATAAAATAAATTAGAAAAGTCGGAGCTGATTTATTCAGTATATGAAGAGAAAAATATTCTGAATCGAACTGTCGATTCCGATTTTCGAGACCTGCGCGCGGGCTGGGGTCCCATATCCAATATGATTATTACGAGGTCGAAGGCCACTGCTCTCGCAGCAACAGTTGCTTCTCCACCCATCAAATATAATAACGTAAAAATACGTAGTCGGGCAAAATCGGCTTTACATATGCGATCTAACAGTAGCTCATCCTCTTCGCCCTAGCCATTCGACATCTAGGTTGGCGTCATCTTTCAGTACGATCTCGACCGATTCCATTTCACTCGACTTAAATAATTTAAGTTTAAATAACTTAAAACGAATTATTTGTATCGTTAATTGTTGTCTAATGATTTTTTCTTATAAAATGCTATACTACAAAAGAAAAGAGAATAAACTATATTTTAACGAACAACCGTTCTTTTCTGTTACGAACATCCAGACATTTTTGTATACAAAAACACTAAAAAGCCTTGGTTCATGCCGTTCCGTACACCCGGAGGACTTTCATTCCGAATATCCCGATTTTTTTGGTTATCGTTAAGAACATCCGATCTTTTTACATTCCGATCTTCCGGACTTTTCATTCCGAACATCCGGAGTTTTTCAAAAAAACGGGAGCTACTCTGTCGGATGTCCGTAAGAAAAAGCAAGGACGAAAAGGGACGCAGCCGAGGAATAATAGATAAAATAACAACAGCTTTTTTCAATTATTCGGAGGGGTGCGCACTGCGCACCCTCCCGTTATTTGCGGCCCTGATAACATATGACCAAAAAGGCGAATTGCATGCAGTGTCAGCGAGTGAGGTAAACATGTTTTCCATGATGTATAGCTTTTGAAAGAAAGACTAAATCTTTTCCACGCTGTATGAACGGTTTTGGGTATACGTTATTGGCATATGGTAATAAGTCTATGTGTGATGGTTGCCATGCAGAAACGAATATTTTTTAGGTAGAAAAGTTGTCGATGTAGTGATAACAGTGCCAGCTGCTATGGGTATCCATCAGCATGCGGCTATACGTAATGCTGGCACGATAGCTGGTCTTAATGTATTGAGAATAGTTGCTACATCTACCTCAGTATGTATGTCATGGGGATTAAAATCGGCAAGAAATGGTGAAAAAATTGTCTTGGCCTGTGATATTGGTGGTGGATCGGTAAGTGTTAGCATAGCTGCGGTGGATGAAGGCTTATTTATAGTTAAATCAACCACAGGTAACACACATTTGGGCGGCTGAGATTTTGACAAACGTATGGTGAACTATTTCATTGACAAATCAGAAACAAAATTTCCTATCGTTAGAAGTAAACATAATCTTGTTAGGTTTCGTACAGCGTGTGAAAACGCTAAAGAAACATTATCGAGTGCTCTGCTAGCGTCTATAGAACTTGCTGCTGTCGGAAGTGATGGTATCAATCTTTATTCATCCATAACACGGGAGCAATTTGAAGAATTAAACAATGATCTATTTAGATCTGTGCTGGACGTAATAAAAAAAGCATTGCTGGACGGAAAACTGCGTGAATCTGATATAGATGAAGTAATCGTTGTTGGTGGTAGTTCAAGGATCCCATTCGTACAAAATATAATAAAAGACTATTTTAAAGGCAAAGCACTGGTTAGATTTATCTATAATGATGAAGCAGCCGTACATGGAGCGGCTGTTCTAGCAGCCATAGTGCAATAGTTACACACGAGCTAATATTGTTGGACGTTTTACCATTTTCGTTGAACATTGACAGTGTTGGGAGCCTAATGACTCCATTAGTTAAATGTAAGATGACGTGCAACTATTGTCTGGAATCCTCGACTACCAATAGCTGTATCCTGTTAAACAATTACTTCATTTTAGAGAGCATTGAGCAATCATACACTTTTCACAGTTTTATGCACAATGTATTAATATACTCATCAATCAAGTAAAAACCATTGCAGTTGATATTTGTATTTGTGTAGGATTTCATTGTATCAATTGATAAGAGCCATGACGTATTGAACCAATATCATTCTTGCATAACGGACATTTGGAACGGTCATTTGGCATACCACAATCTTCAAAATAATAACAATCTTTTGAACATTGATAAATAAATCTTCCTTTTTTATTCATTTCTCCTTTAGTTGGTCGTTGTTGTACTTCACTTTTACCACGGTTCATTTGTGCTATAATAGGATTATTATTTGGTTGTGAACCCAACAGACATCGTGACATTAAATGTTGTGGATAATTATTTGGCATTTCACAATTAGAATCAAATGATAGACTGTTCATAAATGCTCAATTAATTGTACATTTTGATGCTAAAATTAGTGCAGATATATTTAATACTATAAGACGAAGATGTGCATCGTTTCTGACATATCTGGTTTCAACTGAAAATAGGATTGATTATCAAAATTTCTACACAATAATAAAATAAATTGATAACCAATTGATTAAAAGTTTTGGATGAATAGTTGCTGAAGTTGATTTTCAATGATGGAAATCTGGTTTTTAAGGCTTCAAACATTTTTTAGAGAGGGAAATTTTTAAAATACTGAAGTGGGTACGCTTTTTACGAAAAACCGTTTTGTAAAATACTTCATAACTTTGTTCTTCGTTTTTTTAAGTGTTGGCAACTATTTTTTCCAGATTTAGCATGTGAAACTGAGTCTAGAAACTTACTTTTGATGTTGTTCAAATGATAACATGATTATTATTTCTCGACTTTAACGGAAACGTGTCACCTGCTCTCCGGCGTCAGCGTTAAAAACTTAGTCGAATGGTGTATGTTTCAAAATTTTTCATTGATTTTAACTTTTTTTCATTACATAAATATGAGCTTTTTGTGGAGAAAACTGAGAATTACTGCCAGAATTGCGATTTTTTCTTTCCTGATCTAGAAAAAAAGGAATTTTCTGAGTGACAAAGGAAAATAAAAGAAAAACGATATGTGGGTTTGTTCCTGAACGTTTGGCGGTTCGAATGACATACAAATGGTGGCTTCATATCCTGCCAGAAAAAACTAGATAGCTTTATGAGGTGAGCGGAGAGCAGTTGACACGTTTCCATTAAAGTCAGAAATAATAGAATAATAAAATGGATTTATGTCCCTCTATAATAAAATGAGTATTTTTAATGAGATATTGATATGATGATTCCCGAAATACTGGGTAAGATAAATTTGTTTTTGTTCATTATCATTAAGATTTTCGATCATAACATTTGAGCAACCATTGAATAATACATCATTACTTAGATTATTGAGTGTATTTCGTTGCAAATTAAATATAATCCACACATGTTTTGTATTGTCTTTACCGAAGTCATTGAAAATATTGACTATATTATGTTTCAGTGGCAAGGTATGCTTACGATCATTATAATAATCGACACGGATTAATAGTAACTGTATTGTTGTTGTGGTTGCTGTTGTTTTTAAACTATATTTGTTTTATTTTTCAAATTTACCAAATCGAACACACATCAACTGAGAGCTAGTGTCTAGTTGAAAGAGAGCAAGAGCTCCATTATTACTTGAGTTCCGTTGAATAGAATAAATAACTCTTTTAACTAGATGTAGAAGGTTGTATTGTTGTTGGTTTTGGTACTTCAGATTGATGATGTAATTTTACTTTATTGATCAGTTCAAGTTCCGATTTAAAATTAGCAAATCTGACTTCATCAGTTTTTACATTGTAACTGCCTGGATAATTGACTTTATCATAAATTTGTGTATAAGTGTGAATTACTTGTCGACTGATAGTTGTTTTAATGTTTTCAAACATATTGGAAAGAGTTGATTGTGCTTTTGTAGAATAATATTGTTTAATTATTTTGTGCATGTTCCTTATTATCGTTCCTTTCTCGATGGGCTCACGAAACCTGTCTTAAAAATTTTGAATGTGACTTGTGGAATCGGTACCTCTTTATACTCTGAGGATCTCACTGTAGCTGTGGAAGATTGTTCATAGAACCGCTTCCTGATATTTTAAAAGATCGTCCAAATTAATTTAATTTCCTTGTGCCCCTTTTTGTTTTTGACTGATACTCTCTCACCTCTGGAAACTGGACGATCTAGATGAATAACCGTTTACATATGTAATCCCAATTAAAATTAACAAATACATGCTGTAATGCAACAAAATGTTTTGCACCTATGGTTAATAGTTGTTCTAGCCACAACAATAAATTTTCTGTTATTGTCAAATGTAACGCTGTTCTAAATCTTTAGACACAACCATGTGTTTTTCAAATCGATTAAGAAATGGTGGATCCGATTTTTCAGCATCTTTTGAGTTAACTCATCAAAACAATAATATTGATCATTAGCTAAACATTTTGGGTGATATATTGAGCCTAATGCAATACGACAATATTTTTTATGTCCGGATATTGAAAAAATTTGATTATATAAATCGTACAATGACGAATAACATTTGTCCATTTTTCGCATTATTAATGTAATCGGTCTTTCAGTATATAAAATAACATCCATCAGTATACGATAATTGCATGGTACACTATCGAGATCATCTGTTATTTGACTTCTAATTAACCCTTTAAAGCCCAATGTCCAGTTGAATGGACATTGCCATTATCATTATAACAAACTAAGGAAGCATTGTTGGGAAAAGCTGATCTTATATCGGTTGTAGAGAATTAAATTGGCTATCGAATGATAAAAAAAACTTGTTAATGTTGTATGCTAGCTGAGATATTCAAATTTTAAAATGAAGAAGATTTAGAAAAAACTCACTTTTTTTAATTTACTTTTTTCAGGTACTTTAGAAAAGGCTGTTTGTTCAATGACTTTTCAGAAATATGTAGGGAGATGTGCTCTTTCAAATTATGTCAGCTGAATAAATTTTTGTTGAAAACTGTAGGCTGCTGATGGTACAAAACGAAAGGGCATATTTTGCTGGGGTTTCGGGCTCCGTTTCTTAATCATTCTTGATTTTCTTCACCATCTCAGCTCATTCTCTGTCTCAACTTCATCAAACATAATGGTCTAAACTTAGATACCTTTGGTCTTTGATTTCTAACGAGAATTTTCGAAAAAATAATTTTCTTCAAATTTTCACTGTAAATTTAAATTATAAAAGCTTAACTTTTTTAGAAATGAAAAGTAATTTTTTTCAAGAGTGAGAAAGTCATATCGTGGTCTCATATGTTCCGTTTTCATAAGCGGTTGACCCAAAACCAAGCGTTGAAGCCTTGGGGACTTAAAGGGTTAATGTACGAATATTATTTCTAGTTTTTGTTATATATGTTTCAGTATAATGAATAAGAGTATCCGAATCAGATATTAACATTAAATAAAGATCGCTACGATCGTTTAAGGATTGATCTAATAATTGCTGAAAATTTGGCGGTTGATATTGCTCAATTAGTTCTTCATGTTTTGTATAATAACAGAAACATTCGCACATATATTCAGAACCATCAATAAGACCATCAAAATTAATTTTTACTTGTTTACGTTTGTCTCATATTGTCTTGCCAGTTGGTCGAATTCATTTACAATACCTTTAATCAATGAATAAAAATTCCGAAGTCCAAAATAATTTTCGTCACTTCTTTGTCTCTCTAATTCAATGCATAATTCCAACTAAGCATGTACTAATTCATTTATATAAATATGTTTGAAAAAACGTCTGTGAACAAGAATTGATCAACTGCTAAACACTTCAAAAATAACGCAGAAAACAAGAGATTTCTTAAAGAATACTCCCGCAGAATAAATTATGAAGTAAAAAATATTTCTACAGAAAACACTTCAACAGAATGCTGTGGCAAAGCGTTTTTTGTGAAAAAAAGAAAATTTCCGCTTAAACTAATTGCTCGAAATCACATATATTCTGAAGAGTCCAGCTTTCCAAAATAAATACGCTCAGCAAGAATGCCCTTTTAAACACTGTTCCTACAACAAAAAAACGTTCGGCATGATGGTTTATGGATTCTGAGGTATTGTAGAAAACGTTTTTTTATTGCTATGAAACTGTTTCTACTGAACTATATTAACTCTTTCAACTGAGACTTATAGATTCTACACAAATTTACTTTGATCAACATAGTTTTGACGAAACTTTAACCATGTCTTGGATACACTGTATGGATTTAACATGTCCGCAAATCGAATCAGTTACGATAATTTATTTGGAATTTCAACTGATTTTATTCAGATCTTAGTAACTTTGTGACATCATCGATTATTTTCTGGAATTGTCTAAAATCATGTGCTTCTCCGCAATAAGTGGTTAAATATAATTTGAACTTTATTTTTAATACTTAATTTTTCTTTCATATCTGTATTTGCAGTATTAAGTAACACATCTATGGAAGAATGTTTTCCATTAATTTGGTGAACATATTTTCATATTTTTTCAAACTGTTTCTTCTGCTCTCCGATATATCATTTTGTATTAGTGAGATTGATACGTTACACTAGTCCGTCCATATTTTCTCACTATAATGCATAATTCATTTAACGTAGTCTGATGTATTATAAAATTTTTAAAACATTCAAATAATATGACAGAAAGTAAAGATTTTTCATCTGGGTCAGTTATGGAGGCGAAGCGAACGTCGTATGCTGATAACACAATAACTTCGGTACATATTTCCATCAAATCAGCTGTTAATTTAATATTTGGATATTTTCTCATATTCTTTATAAGTTGATATAATGGATTATGTATGTCCGAGTGAATTGCATGGCCATTGTACCGTTTGAGAAAAAAAACACGATAATAAAAAGTTTCAAATAAACAAAATCAGAGTCGTACGTTTGATAGAGCTATATCGGTTGTGTATACATAACATTTTCCCGGTACTTTAGAGTTTGAGAAGGCTCCGATACAATGGCTTTGAAGAACTACCCAATCCGTAGTGCTAGGTATTTCCACACAGATTCGCCCGCTTTATACAAAAGTTTCAGCGGGGCGAATCTTACTATGTTCATCAGATAGAGCATGTCATGTTACATATAAATCGAATTTTTTTATTGAAAAAGATTAGTCCTTTGGTGGTGAAACAGTGCTTTCAAAAGTACCAAACGGTAGCACTATGGTCTTTGGAAAATGGTATTTTCGAGGGGAAAAACGCTTATCGTTTTCTTAAAATAAAAGACAACGTATAGACTTAATAAGCTTTTTGTGATGTCAGACGAATAGCCCGGATGTCAACAAATCGTGTGATGTACGATGAGTCGGAATTTTAAGTTATTCTGATCGAAATATAGACAAGACAATCTCGGTGGAAATTTTCGATGTAAAATGAGATCTCTGTAATAAGCAAGGTAGAGAGTTGCCGTTTTTAACACACATTCTGCACAGCAAATGAAGAAAAGGGTAAAGGGTTCGGCTCTAACGGATAAACAGTTCCATAGTTATAGACCAAACAATTTTCAAAATCTCGGTGGACATTTTATACAAAAAACCAGATTGAATACATGTTTCATCCTGATTTTCGATTGGATAAAAAACTCTAAAAGATTTTCTTTTTTACTTAAAATGTAGAGCTTTGTGTGCTCTATCGTTCTGTCTATTTTAAAACTGTTCAGGGTTCGTCATTGGCATATTAATGTAGTTCTAATCTAGGTGGACAGAATTTTGAAAAAGTGTTTGTAAACAGAGTTTTTTTGATAAAACCAGAGTCAAAATATGATTTTATTTAAATTCAAAGTACGTATTCTGAAAACCTACTTCACAGGCTACAAGAAACGCTAAAAAGCTTTTAGAACTAGTTTAAATAAATCAGAGAAAAAATTTGATTGATGGTGCCAAAAACAGTCAACTTTGGTCTTGTTTGAGCTATATCTCAGCACCCACTTGAGATAGAGAGTTCTTTTTCTCACAAGTGAATGACCATTACTGAACAAACAACATAAAAAAAAGAACTTTAAAATCAGTTGAGCAGAACAGTTTTTAAAAGCAAAACATTTTCCGACAATAAACGGTACAATGGCTATGCAATTCACTCGTCCATATGTTTCATTGTCGATAAACGTTTTTCAGCAATACTGCTTTTAAATTTTAGTTTAAATGCATTAATAAATTTTTTGTTGCAAATATTTATTCCAACTTCATTGATCATTTTAACTAAATCTTGTCTTCGTCCACGTGGTCTTACCACACTTAATAAATATTCAAAGTTTTTCGTTTCTTCATCTGTATTATCATAATGCTGATCACAAAGAAAACAATGATTCATATCATATATGGTTAATCTATTTAAATAATTTAAAATAACAGATGTCAATTCTTGATATTGTTCTAATATATTACGTAAATTACCTGTGCAATTTGTTTGAATGGCTTGAAAGAACAATAGGATATTTTCAAATGTTACCTTAAAATGATATTTTTCTATCATTTGTGTTAAATTAGTTGCTATTTTTTTCTTGGATATTTGTTGTTGTTTTCTGTATTCAACAACCTTTGTTATCGTAAATAAATCTAACCAATTTGGCTGTTGAAGTTTAATATTGGATGATAATATTTTTTTGTTATAGAATCAGCAACCTGAAAATTTCAGATCAGCAACCTGTTGTTGTTGATTGGTATTTGAGATTTGTCGAAGAAATGTTACACTGTCATTTTCCGGTGAAAGTCGATATACTTGAAATTGTAAACATAATAAATTTGTTAAGTCACCTTTAACTAGCAAGTAGTCGTTGTTTTTCATTTCATTAAAAAAACTTCCATTCTACGCTTGTTCGGATTTCTGGAACCTGACATAAGAATCTACCAATTTTTTTTTGCATAGATAGATAGTCCAAAGTGTCCTCTGTAAAATAAGATCTAAGCAAAAGCTTGGTTTTGCTTGGTTCAGGCGCTATAGATCTTTTTTCTGAATCCTTAGAACTTCTCTGTCGTTAGGTATAGGATATTCGGAATGCATGAAAACATAGGTTAACGACTATGCTGAGTCTCTTGGCGGTGGTTGTTCTGAGAAAAATTTGTAGAGCCTAGCGAAACCTAAGTGTTACGAAAACCAGGCTTTTCCAGCTATTTTCAGCTAATATTAAAAAATTCATAACTCACTCAAAATACATAAGAGCGAGTTAAAATCTTTAGGATGTACAGTATCTAAACTACTTTATATTCTGTTTATAAGAAACCTACGAAAAGAGAATCTAGAAAACTCTGCGTTTTTCTCGGAAGACTGTTGGACAAATATTGGTTTGTCAAATTTGTTGCTACCATAATAACGTCTAGTTGGCAAAATTTTTAACCACATCATGTAAGTTCTCTTATTAGTTCTCTTACTTACGACCACAGCATGCCAGTGTCAAGAAACGATGGGAGGATAAGATCATGGATGATACTGAAAAGCTCCAGATTAGAAATTGGTAAAGAGATACAGAGAGCTCGCAGAACGAAAGAGAACAGATGAATTAGCCAGAGCTAATAAAACGGATAAAAGAGTGGCGGCCATAAATGTTTGTTCTAACTGTTTCCGAGTGTGCAAAAATATACTTGGCGTCACAATTGATCGATGAACATGTGATAAGCAAAATATAGTCCTAACTCAGTTGGTATCAGCTCTAGTCGCTACAAATCAGAACAATGTAACGGATGTACTCGTTAAAAATAACAAAAACGAATATTCATGTCCTAACAAAAAATGTAGAAAATCTTTTAAGCCACAAGGGAAAAGCTTGTACAAGAGAATTGTGTAAGAAAAATGGAATACCAATTGGTTAGTGGATTGTCGAAAAATCTGGGCTTGAATGGTTTGGCGAAACGATGGGTACTATAGAAACCAGATCCGTTTGTGACGTGGAGGTGGCACTCTGACAATATGCATTAACATTCAATGCTGTACGACGGACAACAGGAAACAAACCAAATAAACACTTTTGCATTCTTCATAATGCATCTGAAACATTTTCTTTTGTGTTTTTATTGTACACTAGAAGGTAAGGGTATATTCTTCTTCGAAAAAATCGATTAAACCAAGGAGGTGAAAGATGTGTAGAAACACTTTTCAAACTCCGGTTTTGGATCAACGTACAAAACTTTTATCGTATCATATTTATGTTTGCATCGGTTGTTTATTCTTCTACATATAAAGCTGATCTAAATTCTCTATCCGTTCTTCAAAATAAATTTGCATGCTCAGTCTCCGGTGTGAATCATTTGAACGACAAAAACAAAATATTAGATTTGTTAGGGTGGCCAGACAATTTACAATCTTTTTCAAACAACGTTTCAATACACGGATTCAAAATATTGAGAGAGTTCGCACCGCTATATTTACAAAATTAATAATAATATAATTTGTACGCTGCATTCTCAAACTACAAATGAATTAGTACCTTCCAGGATGAAAACGATTTGAGCTTTTGTTTTTTCCCGTTTTTTATACAGAAATGTAACCAATCACAGAACGGTCTAAGAGCATGTGATGGAGTTCACGTATTTAAAACTAAATTACCACGAAATCAGTTAAATTTGAATAATTTCAGATTGTTCGTGGTATATAGCATATTTTTCAGATCGGGAAAGATGTTAAAGCACTGAATGAAAGAAAATTTGACTCGAGTGGAATACGAACTCAGGAGCATGACATTCCGTCCCGCCAGTCTAACCAACGCAGCTATCTAGCTGCAGTCTACTGATGTTGCCTTTCGCCTTAGATAAGGAACTTATCCTTAGGTAACATACGAAAATACGATCAAACTTGCTTTCAAATGCGACATGGTTTTTAGGATTTGAATACACACCTTTCCCAAAAACATTAGCTCTGAGTAATCTTTGCTCATATGGTCTTTCTGGAACAACAGAGCATTTTCTGTTGAACTGCCATCTATACACTCCTTATCGTGCAGTGATGATTAAATTAAACACTGCTACGAAAGGTTAAGATTGACATTAAACGGTTACTACTAAAAGATGATTTTCATCATGATGAGTTCTCTATTAATCATCAAGTAGTAATGTAGTTTGCAGAATCTTCTAAGCACTTTGACAATTAACCGGAGCGTATTACGTAACAACTTCTCTTCTTTATATGCAATCAAATATTATAACTACTGTCGAATTATTTTTCTATCGAGTTTTCTTTTTTTTTCTTTTCTCACTTTACTTTTTATTTTTATCTAGTACATTAACTCCTTTTCTTTTTTTACTTTTCCTTTCATATATTTGTTTTCTTTTACAGCTGTTATTATTCTGTTATCGTTTAGCCTTAAGCCCTTTCCATAACAGAAGGCCATCTGGTGTTCTATTTTGTCCCACAAGTCGAATTCTAAAGGATGGTCTTCTATTGCGGCCAAATTTTGTCACCTGCTACCCATGAGGTTATTTTATTGATTAAAACGGCGTCCAAACGCGTGTAAACAACGAAATGACAGAAACACGTTCTATCGATGCTTGAAACGCGATATTTAGGCGTTTAATTGATATACGAAACGCATTTCAACCATTGAGTGAACGCGTGTCTGTTATTTCGTCGTTTACACCCGTTTGGACACCGTTTTAATCGATAAAAAAATCTTATGGGTAATAGTTCAACAGTAGAAGACATGGTCTTCTATTTGACTTTCAAGTAATATAATCGACAGATTTCTGTTATGGGAGGCGATTTCTGTTACGTTTTCCACCACAGAGAGGAAGGACTGCGGTTCCATAGTCTCTGTATTAGCTTATGATTTTAAATGAATAAGTTAAATCAAGCATATAAGTAAGCGTTTTTAGAAACGTTTCTACTTACTTCACGGTGTAGAAACGTTTGAATCTGAATTTTATTTTTCTGTGGTTGAGTGGTTCGGAAAACATAAAAGTTTCGGCCAACGTTCATTACTGCAAAATGTGATGTGCGATACGAATACACATTCTCTGAAAGTATGATCGTGAATGTTTCTCATATAGAGTAAACGGTAAAACCACAATTCAATAACCTCATTATTATACTCACTTTTGTGAATTATAGGAAAAATTAGCTGAACATTGACTTGTCTGACACATTAAACTGTGAAGATGTATACTGGTATACAAGCAGTAGCTAAGATTATTACTTGTACAAATCCCTTAGATTTCTGTAATATGCAAGAGGATCGTTCCAAATTGATTTATGATCATTTTCTTATTCGCCATGATCGACTACCTACTCTGCATCGTTTTCACTTATTCCAATGTTTTTACATTTCTATTGCTTCCCAGAAGTCGATTTTCTCGGATTCTTCGCTTTTTTCGAACTGTTTTTCTATAAAAGTTATTCAAACAAATCTTCCTGTCTTCGATTTTGACGGTGGCAATATTGTCGAATCTTCAGTTCGTAGATTTTGTTGCTCATATCACAAAAATAACAGATATAAAGCCACACAACAGTTTTAGATCTTAAAAATATTTGTTCGTACTTTTCCAAGCTCTCAGGAACGACTTAATAAGGTCTCTCGGATCTTTCAGAGAAACCATACTAATTTCGAAAAAAGCATTTTCGCGACCCTCTCCAGCGTGCGAGGGGTAGGACAGAGACACAGTGTGCATCCAGGAGAACATTAGATAAAATCGAAAAGTGACAGATTCAAACACATAAAGATATACTTTAATATGTGGGCTATACATTGAAATAAATTTTTTGTTTCAACAACTAGGCATTGTTGGAAAACATGTAGCTAACAGTTAGCCTAAAAATACGGGCCATAAGGCTATAACAAAATTTTTTTCCACATTCAACAGATATACAACGAAAAATGACTCAGATTGGGAAACTAGATTTCCTCAGCTATCTGATAAAAAGGAAATTGGCTGTTCTAAATCGAATCACTCCGAGAAATAGACTTATTTTCCGAGTTAATTTGTTTTCCCTGAGATATATTCAGTGTAATGAGTTTTCGATAGTTTCGTAGAGTTTAATCCGATTCAAGAATATAACCAAATGTTTCCCTTTGTGCACTGCATGTACTTAGGGCTGACCAAAAGTTCTGGCAACATTAAATAAAAATATAAAGATAAGGAGATATTTTTAATTTAATTTTATCAAATGTTCAGGATAGTTGCCATGATTATTTATATCAAGTTCAGTCCTTTCTAACAATTTATTAAAAGTTTTTTTGAACTCTTTTTCTAAAAAATGTTTAGCTACCCTGGAAACCACATGAGCACATCACATTTCATATGTTTTAAAATTTAGCGAAATTTTGTTCGATCATGCAAGTTGCGTTCTAGCACTACTAGTGATAAGATATGGATTCATTTTAGATAGGTTAGTCATAAGTCATCTGATGCTAGCCGACATATTGAAAATGAATTGTTAAAGAGTATTGTACATGGAGACAGATTTGAAGCAAACCTTTGTTTCGTATGATCATTAAATCAAATAGTCCTGAGTGTAGATAAAGGCAGGACCGTAGGTCACAAGTATTATATTGAAAATTGTCTGAAGCCTTTTGTTAATATAATACGAAAACAAACACAGACAGATTCAAATCAGGTTCAAAATGTACAAAATTGCTTGACGGTCATCGCTGACTTCATCTCATCTGATGTTATTTATTATTTGACAGAAGAAGGCACCAGTATAATGTCATATCTCCCATATTCATCATACCTAATACTACATAATATTTGGTTAAATAATTCTATTGAACGAAGTTTAACTAATTAAATAAATAAAATGTGATGTGCTCATGTGGTTTCCAAGGTAGCTAAACACTTTTTAGAAAAAGAGTTCAAAAAAACTTTTAATAAATTGTTAGAAAGGATTGAATTTGATATAAATAATCATGGCAACTATCTTGAACATTTGATAAAATTAAATTAAAAATATCTCCTTATCTTTATATTTTTATTTAATGTTGCCAGAACTTTTGGTCAGCCCTAAGTACATGCAGTGCACAAA